AATGTTGAGAGTGGGGTGTTCAGGTCCCCTGCTATTATGGTATTAATGTCTATCTCGTTCTTTATATCTAACAGTGCTTGATTTCTAAATCTGGCTGCTCCAATGTTGGGTGCATATATATCTATGATTGTTATGTCTTCTTGATGGAGAGATCCTTTTATCATTATATAGTAGCCTTCTTAATCTCTTTTTATGGTTTTTGGTTTAAAGTCTATTTTATCTGATATAAGAATAGCTACTCCAGCTTGTTTTTCATTTCTATTTGCATGGTATATCTTTTTCCATCCTTTCACTCTTAGTCTATGTGTGTCTTTACAGGTGAGGTGAGTCTCTTGAAAGCAGCATATAGTTGGGTCCATCTTTTTAATCCAGTCAGTCAGTCTGTGTCTTTTGATTGAGGAATTTAATCCTTTTACATTTAGAGTTATTACTGAAAGGTGTGGATTTACTCCTAGCATTTTATTGATTTTTGTTTAGATGTATCTTTGTTCCTTTCTTTCTTTTCTTTTTCTTTTTCTTTTTTTTGTCTTTTTCCGTGTCCGGCAACGGATCGCAACCCTCAGTGTTGCCCCCGTACCGGACCAGGGACCGGCAACGGGATTGCAACCCTCGGTGTTGCTCCCGCGCCTCGCTCAGCCAGTGAGCGGGAACCGGTCTGTATGCGGGATCCGAACCCTCGGGCGGGAGCGCCGCCGCGCTTCCCAAGCGGCGCACTTATCCAGTGCGCCACCGGGCTGGCCCCATTTGTTCCTTTCTTTCTGATTTTGTTTGCCTTCTGTGTTTGTTGGTTTCTTGGGGTGGTAGATGAACTTTTTTTCCTCTTTATTGTTAGCATTTTTGTTTTACTGGTAGGTTTTGTTCTATCTTGAGTATTCATGGCACTGATGGTTGTTTTTCAGGTACCAAACCCTGTACTTCCTTGAGAATTTCTTGTAAGGCTGATTGTGTGGCGGTGAACTCCCTCAGTTTTTGTTTGTCTGAGAAATATCCTATTTGTCCTTCATTTTGGAAGGATAGCCTTGCTGGGTAAAGTATTTTTGGCAGGCAATTTCTGTCCTTTAGCATTTTGAATATATCATCCCATTCTTTTCTGGCTTTTAGGGTTTCTGACGAAAAATCTGATGTTAGTTTGATTGGGGCTGCCTTACAGGCCACTTGACGCTTCTCTCTTGCAGCTTTTAAGATTCTCTCTGTCTTTGAGTTTTGCCAGTTTGACTATAACATGTCTTGAAGAGCACCTTTTGGGGGCTGGCCCGGTGGCGCACTGGAGAGTGCGCCGCTTGGGAGCGCGGTGGCGCTCCTGGCGAGGGTTCGGATCCCACGTGGAGACCGGTTCCCGCTCACTGGCTGAGCGCGGTGCGGGCGCAACACCGAGGGTTGCGATCCCGTTGCCGGTCAGTAAAAAAGACAAAAAGGAAAAAAAAAAAAAAAGAGCACCTTTTTGGCTTGAATATGTTTGGGGATTTTGGGCCTCCTGAATCTGAAGATCTGTGACTTTCCTTATACCTAGGAAGTTTTCTGCTATTATTTCATTTAATATGTTTTCAATGCCATTTCCTTTTTCCTCCCCTTCTGGAATCTCTTTTTTGGGTCCACCTGTGTTAATTCAAACAGCCTGTCTTCAAGGTCAGAAATTCTAAAGCTTGTTCTAGCCTGCTGGTTAGACTTTCTGTTGTGTTTTTTATTTTGTTGGATGAATCCTTCAGCTCCATAAGCTCTACTACATTCTTTTTCAGGGCATTGATTTCTTTGTACATTTCTTCTTTCAGGTCCTGTATATTTTTTTCTCATTTCACTGTGTTGTCTGAGTTTTCTTGTATCTCATTTAGTTTCCTTAGAATTGTTGCTCAAAATTTCTTGTCAGTCATTTCAAGGACTTTCTGTTCTAAAGGACCTAGAGCTTAAGAGTTATTATTTTCCTTTGGTGGTGACATACTTTCTTGATTTTTCATATCTCTGGTGTCTTTCCTTTGGTGTTTAGTCTTTGTGGCAGGGGGTATCACGGTCCAATTGTTCCACCCTGATGTCTGGCCTGGATCCCAAAGGGACTGCCAATTCTGGGCAGTGGAAACTGGCCTAGGCCAGGGGTCCTGCAGTGCCTATTCCAGCATGGCTGGCTTGGGGCATTTTGGCCTGGTAGTTCTTGGGCCTCTCTGGTGCCAGGAACTGGCCTGGGCTGGGGATCCCACAGTATGCAGTGCCTGCCTGTTCTGGCACGGCTGACTCAGGGCATGTGGGCCCACTGGTTCTTGGGCCTCTCTGGGTGGTGGGGACTGGCCTAAGCTGGGGATCCCATAGAGCCTGCCTGTCCTGGCATGGCTGACTCAGGGCCTGTAGGCCCAGAGGCTCTTGGGAAATGCTGAGTGGCAGGGACTAGCCTGGGCTGGGGGTCCTGCGGCACCTACCTGTTCCAGCACAGCTGACTCAGGATATGTTGGCCTGATGGCTCTCAGGCCTCTCTGGGTGGTGGGGACTGGCTTGGGCTGGGTCCCATGGCATGCAGCACCTGCCTGTTCTGGCGTGGCTGACTAGGAGCATGTGGGCCCGGTAGCTCTCAGGCCTCTCTGGGAAGTGGGGGCTGGCCTGGGCTGGGGGTCCCACTGAGTCTGTCTGTTCCAGCATGTCTGACTTGGGGTATGTGGGCCCAGTGGCTCTTCAGCAATGCTGGGTGGCAGGGACTGGCCTAGGCTGGGGTCCTGCAGCACCTGCCTGTTCTGGCACAGCTAACTCAGGGCATGTGGGCCCGGCAGCTCTTGGGCTTCTCTCGGAGGCTTCTCTGGGAGGCTAGTGAGGACTAGCCTGGGATGGGGGTCCCACGGCTCCTGCCTGTTCCAGCATGGCTGACTTGGGATGTGTGGGCCCAGTGGCTCCTGTGCCTCTCTGGGCAGCTGGGTCTGGCCTGGGCTGGGGGTCCTGCGGCACATGGCTCCTGCCTGTTCCAGTGCAGATCTCAGTCCTCCTGTTGTTGCTTTTTAATAGTTGTAAATTGGTTGATTTACGGGAGAGAGTGACACTATGAACTGTCTATTCCACCACCTTGACCGGAAGCCCAGACTTCTGATAGTAAACTTTTAGAAACATCTGTATTATTTGGAGGGATAAGAAAATCAAAATATGATAGAAAATCAGATACATCTAAAGTTCACAAAATTATGTCTCAGATTTTGTGCTAAGAGACCCAAACCTCATCTTCCCAAATGGAAAGTAACTGTGAGACCAACAGTCCATTAGTACTGAAACCTGTTAAGCAATCAAAGTCCAGTAGTAACCAAAAGCAGCAAGTAGTCCTGTATGTAGTTTGCCTAATATTTGGCTCCTTCTTCCAATCCTTCTGATGAAAAGATAGAAACAAGGGAAATACAGTTCCAGACAAGTTTGGCAATATAACCAGTGGTTATTACGCAGCCACAGCCATTTGGCCCAGAATCCAAACAGGGAAACAGGCATATCAGCAAGAGAGGTATCAGAAAAATGACTCTCAGCTTAGAATCCAATCCCCGTGTAGTCCCAAATCTTGACACTTTATAAGCCACTTTCTCTCAGTAGCAATATAAGAGAATGCATTGACTCTCAAATCTGCTAACGCTACTTTTGGCCAAGTGGAATTGACTCTCAACTTAGAAATTGCATTAGATTCATCAATAGACACCTCTGAGGAGCTTGACCACCTGATGAGATCATACCTTGTCAGCATAAGACCAAAACAAATACAAGAATCGCAACATTTTGAAGATCCACTCCTCAAATATGAACAGGATTGCTAAGTCTGTTTTTGCTTTTTCTTTTGTTAACCGTAGACCATTTTAGAGGAACTACTTTTGTGTTCATTGGACGTATATTTCATACTTTGAACTTTTAAGTCAGGGAAGAAGGATATTATGAATATGATAAAATTTGACTTATAATTTTAAGAGTTCAACTGACTTCCCCCCAATAACCCACCATCAAACAAGCAGGTGCAGTTTAAAGTGGAAACTAAGGGTTTATTTATTTAAAAAATTGTTTCTGAATGGCTAAAATGGCCATTTCTAACATAAAGTATATGATAAAAAATAAAATTAAAAACAAACCACAATTTATTTCAATATTTGTGCTTTGTTGCAATATAAGCTTTTATTTTACCTCACCCTCCTACCCCCAAACCTGCTTCGCCCACATTCCTTCCCATTACAGTAAGTGGCAACTCCATTGGTCTTGGTTGTGTGTTAGGTCATAATCCCTGAAGTCACCCTTCACTGCTTCTCTCATACTTCTCATCTACCCCCTTAGCACATCCAATCACTTCTTTCCACATCTGCTGCTACTATCCTAGACCAAATCATCAGCAGCTCTCATTTGGGTTATTATAATAAACGTACCCACCCTTGTTTCCTGGTCAAATCTCCACAGAGGCCAGAGTGTTCCCTTTTAAAACAGAAGTCCAATCATATAATTCCTCTACTCAAAACTCTCCAACAGCCTTATACTATCTGACCTCATTGACAACTCTGTGGAAGACATCAGGACACTTCTGACTCTGCGCCTTTGTCCTTGCTGCTTGCTTTGCCTGCAGTGCTCTTCCCTCCTGACATGCACATGACTCGCCTTCTTCAAGTATTTGCTCAGATACTCCTCTCAGTGCAACCTTTCTAAGAACCCTGTTTTAAACTGAAAACCTCATCTCACCAGGCATTCTCTCTTCTCTGTATTGTTTCTCTCCATAGAATTTATCACCTGCTGATACAATGTTTTTTACTTATTTTGTTTAATGTCTTATCTTATTAAAACGTAAACTATCCAGGGCCAGCCCATGGCTCACTTGGGAGAGCGTGGTGCTGACAACACCAAGTCAAGGGTTAATATCCCCTTACCGGTCATCTTTTAAGAACAAACAAACAAACAAACAAAAAAATGTAAACTATCCAAAGGCAATAATTTTTGTCTGTTTTGTTTACTGCTGTATCCACAGCACTTAAATACTCAAATATTTGATGAATGAATGAACATGCCAAACAGGTGAATGTGAAATAGCTTATGAACTGAGGGGTCCTAGCTCAAAAAAGAACATTGAAGATGAAGTGTGTAAGTGCTTTACAAATGTTCAGTGATACACTTGAGAGCAGGGTTGCAGTGAATGGTTATATCAATAGCCAACCAAAATCTCTTGTAAGTGAAACTCCCTTTTATATAAACCATGGCCTTATCATTGAGTGATTTCAGATGGGTTTTTGCATGGACAAAAAAGCAAAAACAATTTTCCCAAGCTTGCCCACAGTGTCTTTACACTCACATAAAGGTTACGGATGTTCATTACATTTAAACATTTATGCTTCCAAGAAGATATTTGCAGGAGAAAAAATATAAAAATATTTGTACGAAGTTCTTCATTAAAACAGTAGCTTAAATAAATCCTCTGGCAACACCAGACAGAATCAGCGACTTGATCTAGATACTAGAGGTTAGAGCTTTTTACACAATTACATGAAAACACTTGAATCAGTCTTCATAGACAGTGCCACAGTAACAATTCAATTAAATCCAGAAGCCATCTTCCAGATGCAGCTTAGAGTTCAGGTAAAAAAGCAATTGATGGAAAATAACTGTACATAATATAGTACTCTTTCTATTTGCCTTTTTTCATCTTGGCTGTCTTTTCCTTTCTTTTTTTCACATGTTTAGGAATTTTGTTTTTTCTTTTCTCTCTCTGGGCTTCCTTGACCATCTTTTTTCTTTCCTGTAAAAAAACAAACAAAAAACTCCACAAATTTCATTCATTCACAGTATGCATATTATTATTATAACTAAATAAAAATTGTCTTTGAGCTTTCTTTTTTTTTTTTTTTTCCTTTTTGTCATTTTTCGTGACCGGCAACGGGATCGCAACCCTCAGCGTTGCTCCCGCACTCCGCTCAGCCAGTGAGCGGCCGGCCTGTATGTGGGATCCGAAACCTCG